CGTCGGCTGCAGCTCTCTCCCAATATCCCTTCTTTTTCCACGGATCTGCATATCCAACCGCTTGGTATGCGAGCACAGTGCTTCCCTGCAGCTGCTCGGCAGATGGACGCTGTGCTCGCTTGCCTGGCAAGGCTCTGCTTGCCTGCAAACCCTCCCTGATTACACGCGCTCTTCCGAAATGCGACCAAATGCAAACGAAAGAATCAGCTCTTTCCTTCCCCTTACTAGACTCAGAGGCTGAAACATCATCATCTCTATGCTGTATCACATGCCCGTGTGCTTATATTCCTTAAATGGGATCCAGATCTGAATTGCCYCAGCTGGAAAGGAGATGACAAAATGGAAATAAGGAGAATAGAGCAAAATGAGAAACTTAGGATCTACCATTTTGCTTTTGTTTCTTTGTTCTTTGTGTTTGTTTGTGAGCATCAGTAGGAGGGCTGGCCATGCCAGCTATCCTTGCATGGAAAGTGAGGTTTGGGTTAGACTAACACAAATGCCAGCCTTCTTTCCAGGAAGAATATCAAGTTTTTCTTAAAATTTTCTTGTTGAAGCTTTCAAGTTTGATAGCCCCAAAATCCCTACTGGTGGATGGGAGTTACCTCACCTGCTCCTGTGAACACTCTGTCTGCTGGGAGCTCATACCAAGACCTCCTGGATGAGTCCAGCCCCAGCATCTCCTCCTGGGTCACCTTGATGGTGAACCTCAAGGAAATGGCCTCTTTGGGACTACCAGTGTCTTCCACTGTTTGTCCACATGTGTTATGAGCTGCAGCACCAGCAGTCATGGTGCTGGGGCTGTTTTACCTTTCCTTAGTCTTTCCAGGATGCTGCTGCCAGCAGTCTTGTSCCTCTCCCTCTATCTCCATTCTTTACGGCTCAACAATTCCCACTTTGGGCCTTTTCTAGACTCCTTCCCAGGGGTGATTTGGCCTGTTGTGGGATGCACTCATGCTCTCCGTGCTTTGATTGTGCTCCTCAGCAGAAGAGCAGCTTTAAGAGGGTACAAATTTAACAGCGCAGTAGTCGCCTGCTCTCCCGCAAGGCACCAGTCCAACCTAATACCTGCGGATACTCCCGCCTTTCCCTTTTCCTGGCCTCCCAAGACCCTGCTCTGGCTGTCCCTCTGCTGGAGCCGTGCTCTGAGCTGTTATCCGATCTCGCCGTCTCCACTCCAGGTTCCTCAAAGCCTCTTTTCCGCCACTTGTCTGTTCTAATTTGGGTCTTTAGCGGGACAAGTCTGTCTCCTCTCAGGACGCGGATCCAACTCACACTCGTGCTGCTCCATTTCTCAGGCGCATCTTGGACCTGTTTGCATGTGGTTGAGCTGACTGGCAGCAGCCCCAACCGTGGATGCTCTTGATCACTCATACCGAGAACCACGATGCTCTTCCCAGCCAGGTCTCCAGCCTCAGCAGAGCTTTAAACCTGCAGCAATCTTGTTGGTTGTAACCCAGCTCTGTACAGCCGTACCTGATCCATGGGCACTTCCATGAGTTTGGGGTCTCAGTTCTTATCAGTCCGTGTCTCTCATGAAGACCATTCCCACCTTTACACCACCAAAGGCACAAGGATCCAGCTCACAAGACAGGTCTGTGTAATCCAGGCACATCAACAGGGACTGGATTAGGCTTCCCTCCTATGGTCTCTGCAGTCAAGTGCTATAGGGATACATGGCAATCATAACACCTGCTTAAAACCACTGTAATTGTGGTATCAAATTTGTTGGATAGCAGAGAAACGGGGATGTAAAGCAACAAGGAAGGCGCTGATGGCGCTCTACTCCACTCTTGACTTTGGCCGAGGCTGGATAACACGTTCCAGGGCCCTGGAATGGGGAGATAACACCTCACAGCTCTGCAGAAAACAAGGAAAAGTTACGGGAGAAGCCGGGCACTGTGAGTGGGAGCTCCAGGACTGGTGCACAGAGCAGAGTGGATCCCSCTGTGTGACAGCCCCAAGGCTCCATCCGAGCTGCCTGCCAGGACTGYGGATGGATAAGGGAAGAGGCTTGTGAGGTCCAACCACCACAACGAAAGGAGGAGAGCGCTCTGATAGAGCTTGGATGCTCCACCTGCATCCAAGAAATGAGATAAATCAATTATCTGGGATGATATCATTAAGAGGGAGATGGAGGAGGGCATTGCACCCACAAGCAGCACCCTGCTCTGGTGCGGGGAGGCCGGGCACGGAGCTGCAGGATGGGGCCCTGGCCACGCTCGCCATGGGGACGGGACCGTCTCTTCTCCGAACAAAAATCAGGCGCTTGCCAGGAAAAGAATCAAACACATTTTCCGTCATGTCTTGGCTGCGGAAATGGGGATGTGACAGCCATGGAAAAAGGGAGGGATTATGTAACAGCACGGGAAGCAAATAAATAAATAAATAAATGACGGRGAGGAGGTGGGAAAAAGATCCCAAACCAGAAAACAAGTGTCCCCCCCAGCTTCCAAACCTACCGCTCTCCATGTAAAGCCACTAAAGCCTCTGTAACTCATTAGGGGCAGAGACTGTTTCACGGAGTATATTGTCCCGCTGTGTGCTGGAATGAAAAGTACATTTCTAACCACGGCGAGAGATGCTGAGAGCAATAAAAAAATTGCTTCCGCACCCTTCCCCCCATCACCACTTTTTTTTTTTTACTGTGCTGAAATTTCTACAATCTGATTTTCTTCTCTCCATCAAATACGGGTTTCATGTTCCAAAGCATCAGGCTGCGGTTTGAGAGGAGCAGTGGAAATTCCCTTGCAGTGGGAAGGGGCCAAAGACAGAGGGGTGCAGCAGGGGAAGAAAAATGGGCTTTTTTTTTTTTTTTAATATATATTTCATTGGCGATGCTGTGGCTGAGAGGGGCTGGAGCTCGTGTGGAGCAGAGCCCCAGCAGGCCTTGATTCACAGCGAGCATATTGCCCTGGGCATTAATCCCATCGCTACTCCAGGCCCTTGGCTGAGCGTCTGCACCAAGGGGCTCCAAGGAGCCGTTTTCTTGCAGCCCAGTTCCCTGCCCCATYCCCAGAGCTGCCACCGCTTCCCTGCTGGAAAGAGAGAAGCCAGAGGGTCCCGAGGTGACCAGATGCACGTGAAGGTCAGAGCAGGGGCTGCAGTTAACGCCTCCACCCCCTGCTTGTGGACATCACAAGGGCACTTCCCTGCCTGGCCGGGCTCCAACACATTTTCCCTTCTCGGACATCTGGGGAGAAGCGAAAGTGCTTCTCCCTCTTCCTTAGTGAGATCCTATTTACAACGGCTTCAAATATTTACCTAAAGTGCTGCTCCGAGGCTGGATGTCAACACATGGCAGCTGGGTCCCTCCACGCAGCATCTGCTGGGGAGCAGCGCCGGGCTCCGCATCTCCCCCCTCGGACTTGGGCCATCTCCTCGTATTTATTTATTCCCCATCTGCCTCGAGGATCTTCCTTGCAGTAAATCATCCCTGGCAGAGCTGGCCGGAGCTGATGGGATTCAGCTGCCCCCTCGGGACAGGCTGCGTGTGCAGAGGCACCTCTCTGGTTTTCGGCTGTAAATCTCCGGTGACAAATTTGCAGATGGAGGTTCCCTCTTCGGTGGGATCCAGCTTGCCTGGTTTGAGGAGAGAGGTGGGAATGGAAGGAGGAGGTGGGAGGAAGAGGGACATCACCGGCTGCAGGGAAGTGAGGAGTGGGAAGGAGGCTGTGATTAGCAGGAACCACCTCTTCTTTCTATGAAAGGCTTGGATTAATCTTCAAAACAAGGAAAAGCACCAGGATCTCCAGAGGATAAGGGAACTTTGAAGCTATTTGGAAAAAACCTTGAAAGCCATACCTTTGGGGCATCAGTTTTACCTATTATTTTCATATTTGCAACCCCACTTTCCAGCTTGCCAGACATCTCCAGAGACCCTTAGTTGGGCTGAGCACTTCTTAGTTGCTTGGCCCATGGATGCAGGGCCTTTTTGGTCTCTTCTGCATCATGTCCAGACATGGCTCTGGGGGCACAGCTCCCTGGATGGATGGGACAAGCATTTCCCTGGGAATTCCCAAATCTTGGTGGCTGTGCACGGACATCGGGCTTTCTGTCCGCAGTTTATTACCTCTGAGTTGCCAAATTGTCACTACATGACACACATAGGTCTGCTTCACTTTGCTGCAGCTGGGGAGAGCTCCTGACTCATCATCATCATCATCTTCTGGTCACATGCCAATCTTTTTGCATTGAGAGCTGTTGCCACTGAGCATGGGGGTATTTATCCCTCTCATGAGACTTCCACTTCCYGGTGCCCAAATGCAGGGTATGACTTTCCAGAGGAAACGAACACATACATCTCCCTGAAGCTTAGCAGCCCAGAAGGCTTGAAGATGCCAACAGCAGAGCATCAAAAATGGATGTGTCCAAAATGAGAGAGTCCTCTTGGTCTGTGAAGGACAGATCCTCCAGCTCTTTCTCTTGCATGGTTGAGACAAACTTTCCTCTGCACCCTCGGCACTTAAACCAGCCCCTGGCATGAAACCATCTCCAGACTGCACTGGCAACAGGGCAGCCACCTGCTCACAGCTCCTCCTTGTCTGGCCTCATCTCAGGGTTCCTCCATGCTTCTCAGCCTGGCTCTTGGCTCCCCAGAAAGCCATTTTAAACTCAGGCCTGCTTTCCAATTAGCAAAGTATTATTTCCATCCCTTTGCACTGCCAAAACAAGCAAGGCTTTTCCAATAACTGCTGCTTTGGTGGCTATTGCCAGGCCTTTGTTTTCTGACAGTTTAAACACGGGGCGAGTTGTAAACTGGAGCCTGATTGCTAGTTCTGTGCCTGGAAATGGCATCTGTAACCCTGCATGTGAGAGAGAGCAGTTCTAGGCTAGAAAAAGGGGATTTCAGGCCTTTGCCCACACCCAGCAGCCCACTTTTTATCCCAGTTCSCTTTCTGGAGCCCCAGGCACCTTCTCAATGTACCTGAGCACATTTGAGAGGTCCTTGGAGATGGGAAGTGGAAAGGGCTATGAGACACAAGGAAAAAGCCCCTGTGAAGCCTATCAAGTAATTTCAGATAACAAATTCTGATTTTTTTCCCCCTATTTTTACGCATAGAGTTCTACCCAACTGGCAGGCTGGCTGAGMGCTACTCGTTCTGGAGAAGATCAGGATGGGCCTGATCACCACAGCCTATACTCTCATCAGATAAAATATCAGTGAGGAAGAGGAATGAGTTTCTGGATTAGATTTTGACATGAATAAACACTTACACTATAATTTGCCAGTCTTTCAGGAAACTGCAAGTATTTTCCCAGTGTCAGATGTTCATGCAGATAATGCATAAATAATGACTCCAATTATGTCAGATATTGCAATGAGCAGAGCTCTGGGCTTTTGTTCATAAAATCTGAAAAAAAAAAAAACCAGTGTTTTCACTTTTTTTGCTCTTCTCRGTAGATTCTTCACACTGTAATTCAGTGCTTGGTCACTCCACCTCTGTTGAGAGCTCTTCTYTCTCTTTCTGGAATCAGATGAGATGCTTTTCTCAGCAGGTCCTTGCTTCTGCAGGCAACACAAAGTTGGCCTCCCCTTGAAAGAGCTGGCTGTGCTTTTCCCYGTCTCACTGGCAATGAGGATTTCTGGCACACAGCCTATGGCTGTGCTGTTTCCCATCTTCACCATGAGGTTGGAGCCCAAGGTACATTAGATTCTGCAGGCTGGGGAGAGCCAGCGTTTTGAGGCCAAAACATCTTTGTCTCTGGAAAGGGAGGCATGTCCTATCTGCAGGAAGGGTCAAATCACTCCTAATACCTTCCTTGCACTGTGAACCAAAAGGTAGGTCCGCACAGCCTGGCATGTGGGCCCTGTCCAGCTCTGGGAGAGATGAGAGATGTGTCTCCAAGGAATCATCTGACCATCTATCCATGGGCAATCTTGTCTGAAGCACTGTGTTCTCCTAGGTGGAAACAACAGGCTGATCTCCATCCCGTGAATCCTAGCAGAGGATCCTGGAGCTTCCTTTTCTTTCCAGAGATGAAAGGAGGTGTCAGCTCCATTTGCCTTTGCAGCACATGGCAATGACATTGCCAAGGCAAGAGCATGACCAGCAATACACTCTGACTGATGACTGCAGTGGAAATCCCAAGGCAATCCTCAAGTGGGGTGCAAGGGGGCCTTCCCAGGGACTGGGAGCTCTAGGAGATAATCTTGCCCATCAAGACTTTCACCCTGTGCTGAAGCACCGCTGTTTTTGGTAGAAAATCAATGACAACGTACAGTGATTTATAGACAGAAAGAGAARAAGGAGAAAAAGAAAGCAGCTACAGCATGGAGTACCATGCAGAGAGAGGCCAATGATGAGGAATGAACACAGCACTCACATTTGGTCAAGAGATCTTCCCAACAGTCTGCATTGGCTGCTGCTTCCACACAGGGCTTTCCATTAATGCTCAATACTTAGATCTACAAATTAAGCAGAGAAAAAAAAAAAAAAAAAGAAAAGAAAGATCTTTTGTTTTCAAGGCTTTAAGTAGGTGGACAACATCTCCCAGGATGATGGATGCAAAGATGAAACCAAAAGCAGGTACCAACTTCACATCAGCCTTAACCAGGATCCTGAAAATTGCRTCTTTTTTCTTGTCTCTCACTTTCCCATTTCCCTCATTCCTTCAGATTGTCRGAAACTGGCCATATTTCACCCATATGTGATGCCTACAAAGTACAGGAGGAACTTCACAGCAGGTTGCAAAGAGAGGATGATGTCAAGAATGCTTTGGTAAGGAAAGGATATCAATGAGTGCTTTGGTTTTAGCCAGAGACTGCAGAGGGGAAGAAAAACCTCCAAAAAGAAAGAAATAAAAGAGCTAAGAAAACCCCACAAATTTCCATTTTCTTGTTGTTTGTTTTGWAGACAGAACCAGTAGCCCCACCTATAAGGAAAGTTGTCTGACACTTCCATTTACCAGGCTCTGTTTTCATTTGCTTCTAGCTTTGCCAAACTCAAACCCTTCAGGCTGAAGTTTCCTAGGCCAGCTGCACATCGGTCCAAATAGCATCCCCATTTTTCAAGACGGGGCATTTCCTTTAAGGGAGCTCTACCAACCTTCTGCTGGGGCCCAGATTCTCACCCAGATTTGTCTTCTGCAAAAACACAAAAAGCTGCCCAGATGTGGCCAGGTTATAACCTCTGCAAAAGCGAAATCYGTCTGGCATATATGGCAGAAGAAAAGAGTCTGCMTTTTAATTCAGTCTTTTATAGCCCYGTGTAAAAGGAAAGGAGCTCAGCCTTGCTCTGAAGCATGGAAAGGGTTAATGTTCAGCAAAGCCACCCTCCCCCAGACCCTGGTGGAGAGCTGGGAGCTTTTGCTGGGATGTGGCAATGCAATCACTGAAATCCACACAGAAATTTACCATTCCAGGCCAAAAAGGGGATCTGTTTTCTCTCTACTCACTCTCCTCCTTTGGGGAACTACATGCCAGGAACAAACCCAACCGACATTAGTCTGAGCCCTATGTGGAGAGCAGGTTGAATCGAGCTCTGCATACCTGATTTGTCCAGAGTGAAACGAAGTGTCCTCTCCTGCCAAAAACTTTTGAGAAAGTATTTGTAATAATCAGTCACTCTGCTCTTTTAGTGCTTGCCAGGATAGCTTTTACCACGTGGCTGTGTGCAGATCTGCRTGTCCAACGTGGCCAGGTATCATTCAAGCACCCCTCGCTCAAGACTGTGGCACACCGAGCCATGTGGATCTTCTCCTACACCCCTCTGCTCTTGGTGCTGGGAGATGGAGGAGGTTTTTCTTGCTGTACTCAGGGCAAGTGGGGAAATGCCAACCCTCAACCATTGCAGCAGATCAGGAGAAGCCAAGGTGGCCAGCACTAGCCACGTAGCAGGGGTCATGTTGGAGATGGAGTTGACTCACAGCTCTGCACCAAAGAGCAGCAGCAGGCACAGAGCTTAGGATCCTCATGTTGAACCAGAAACCAAGACTGAGAATCATCTGCTGGCCAAGGGCTACTGGGATTGGTGGCTTGGTTCTGCCTCCTGCTGACCCAACAAGCCACAAGCATATCGGAAGCATGGCTGGGACCAACGACATGGACATCATCGGTCATAAGGATCTGAGCCTGGCTGTGACAAGGATCTCTGATGGTGGTGGGCACGCTTCAGAGGTTTCTCCTGACCKCAGTGAGGAGCTACGCTGATGTCTCAGAACACAGAAGTAGTTGACAATCTTTCTGTGCAGCCTGGTGTTGGTCTGAACCAAGGCTCCTGGCTCCAAGCAGAAGGATGAACAAAGACAAGCAGCCTCCTCAGCCTGCTGTGGCCACCCCAATGGGAGGCCAGGACAGGCCATGGACACGCAGAACAGGCCACTGTGCGGGGACCTGACAGCCAGCTGGGACCCAAGGAGAGGGCCAAGGAAGGTGAGGAACATTTGGCTGGTGAGCAAGAGCTCTCTCTTCTTATACCAACGTTCAGCCTGTTCCATTCTAGAGACAGGAGTGTGAAGCATCCCRTGAGGATCCTCTGGATGGGCATTCACCATCTTATGTCCACGTCCTGACCCCTTGCAGCTGGGATATTTCCCTGTCGAGCTCCACCTAGCATTTAACAAACTCACTTGTTTCCTTGCAGGAAGAGCAGCAGCAAGAAGGGAGTTTCCATTATTTTTATGCTGGCCCAATTCTGATCAGAGGAGGAGACTGATTATTTCTAACCGGGAAGCCAAATTCCATCTTGCTGTGGCTGTCCAGGTCCTCCTAGCACCAGGCATCATCTTTCAGCTGCAGGGCTGCTCTGGGGTGGGACCTGCAGGCAGTCAGCACATGGTCTAAATGGACCAAAGGAGCTTCAGGCAAGCCAGAACCGCAGCCATGACACCGGAGAAAACTGGGCAGTTAGAAACCTATGGAAGAAACAACTGGTAGCTGCTCAACCCAGACCTTGACCACAGCACCGGAGTTAGCCCCCTCACCTTGGCTAGGAACACTGAGGTCTCCATGATAACTGCACTTCTATATTTAACCCCAAGTCCATGTGCCCGTCCAACCTTGGGGGTTGTCTCCAGGAAGGCTGGAGCAGAGCTGCYGAGTCAGCTCCAGGACAGTGGCTCTTACCAGCTGAGATTTCTCCCATGWCTCCCAGATGAGCACTCACAGGGCTTGCCATGACCTGGTCCTCTCGGTGCTGACGAGCGTGGAGCCTCCAGGAGAAACTGCAGTCAAGAGAGACAGCGCGAGATGGCCAATCCTGGAAGACAGAGAACATCAAAGTAAAAAAATACTCTAGATAAAGCCTGCTCTGTCAGAACCACAAGATGGAAAGAAAGAAGATATGTGATTTTCAAAGAGGTAAGAAATGAAGGGAGGCAGAACAGCCTCGATCCAAGCACTGTCATGACAGGAAAGGACAGACGTGTTGGTGGCTAATGAGTACAAGGAGTAGAGCTGAGAATGGAGAAAGTCCATAGGCTGAAMCACACCATGTCTGTGAGGACGGCAGTCATGACTTGCAATAAGGATCTAATGGGACCTGACTTGGTCACCCTAACTTCTTACTACAGTAAATGCTAACCCTACACTTGTCATGAAAGGTGGGATTGCGTTGCTGTTTGCGAACTGTGACTTTCCTTCCTTCCATCTATAGCTTTACCACATAAATGCCTCCAAAACACTTACTTTCCAAATCAATTTCTTTAAAATTTTAAATCTTTCCAATCACGCAGGAAGTCATGTCGTCARAACTCCAAGGGAACTAAGGGGAAAGTACTGCAGCAGCATGACCCTGTCTGACAGTTTGGGGAGGTTAGCAAAGCCCACTGCTTGCTGCATCATGCTGCACTTTGACAACAACAGAAATCACCATTTCAGCTTCCATTAGACTCCTGTGGTCTCTCACTTTCAGTGGGCCTCCTCCCTGCATCCATAGACACTACATAAACCTGTTCTTCTCCACTGCTGTGAGCCATTACCTGCACTAACAAAATGAGATTTTGCATTCATGCTGGCTCACACTCCATCTCAGGGGCTGTGCAACACCTACAAAGACCTCCCACCTTGAGACCTGGTGAGTTTTTCAACATTAGCCCCAGCACAGCAACTGCCTTCAGTCTGAAGTCTTCGCCTCTGTGTCTCCAAGAGCCAGCAGAGAGGCACAGTGTGTGCACAGATAGGAAACAACTCTTCTTCGAGCAGGAGGTGGGGGAATRTTTTATGAGAAGCAGTTACTGCCATTCTTAGAGGACTTTGGCTCTGAGCCCCTCTGCCACATTCTTAGGAGAGATCATATCAAAAACTATTTTTACTAAAAATGTAGTGGTAACAGGCTCCAGATGTCCATTGTTATGTAATAGGGTTTGCTTTAATGGATCTGACTTCCAGATGTTCAGTTTGGACTCGAGGCATCTGCTTGGTCCGTCGAGGAGCGGGCGAGAGCAGCCAGCCCGGTGGAGCTCTATCCGTGMCCCGCAAGAGGGGGCAACTGAATCCACTGGAGACAGGATCTTTCCTGGCACTGAGCACTTCTTTTCCTTGCCTTTCTTTCCGGAAAAGTGTTAGTCATCCTGGGCAGCCACCTCAAGTCCTGCGTTTCATTTTTCTGGGAGGTCAGCCGGAAGGGTCACYGAGCACTGGTTTGCTCA